AATTTCTTCTCTTTGTTCCTCGACGCTCCAAAGTTTTGCTAACCTTGATTTTCCTGAGTTCTTTAATGTTTTTGTTGTTTCTGTAGAAACTCCAGGCACGTGAAAAAGACCTGGAATCATCAAGAAAGGAAACTGAGAAAAAACTTGCGGAGGCCAACTTTGAGACTAAGCAGGTATGTCCTCATAGAATACTATCGGTGTCTGATAGAAACAACTATTAGAAAAAGACTTGGGAATGGAAAAATGCTTTCTTAAATCCAGACGACTCAACACTCGAGCCAATTATGCGGCAAGTAGCCAAAAACGTCGTGGATCTAAAATAGAAGTCAACTAGAATTATCGGTCTAATTAATCATAGTGACGTGCAGTTTAATAGCGTACTGCTGCCATAACTATTGTCAGCAGCTGTTTCTTTCTTTTCTTTTTTCTTTTCCTTTTTGGTTTGTTTTCGCACGCTTCTAGTGGTCAGGACATAGAATGGGTGGGTAAGCCCGTCTTTTGATTAAATTCGCTTCTGCCTTTATTAGGTTTGTGTATAATTTTAATTACTATTTTTCTGCAGGTTTCGGAGAATCTACGCGAGGCACAAGAGTGGTTCAAGACCAAGTTTGGAAATTTACAAGCTGAGCTAGCCAGATCAAGGTAAACAATTTTGTTGACTTTGTTGACTTTGGGTAGGTGAGTCTGCTGACATTATTTCCGAAAACTTTGGCAGTTTTGCGCCTGTTATAACATCCTTTGTTAGGCGACTGTAAATGTTTCTCCTGCTTTTGGTTCTGAAAGATCACCTGAGCTTAGTCTTTCCGCAATTCACATGCACATTCCGATTTACCAAGCTATGATATTTATACAAGTTCTGAAAAATATGTGTTTTGTAGTATGTTTCTTTGCGTTGTTTTGTATAGCTTTTTAAGTTTTAAATTCATGTTTACTGAAAATCTCAAAGTAAAGTAGCAGAAAACGATGAAGCCTTCACGCTGCTTTAAGAAAACAAAACGAATTTCAGAGACGAAGCTTTGGCGAGGAGTAAGGTTTTGTTGAGAACTATCCTTTCAAAACATTTTTACGTTCTATTTGCAGGAAAATACAGGACGCCTTAGAAAAACACAACAGAGAAAACTTCAAGAAAAGGAATGAGGAGAAGAGAAAAGTAGACGAAGCAACTGAAAAAGCCAAAGAACTTATGAGAGTAATTTAATTTTTTCAAATTGTGCTTATTACCATATACTATGTGGGAACCTGTTTAGGCTAACTTGGGAAAATGCCTTGCGGGCTTTTCATGTACAGTCGAATCCCGCTTAACTGACACCTGCTTAAAACGCTCACATCGTTACTACAGATACCGTAAAATTCCGAAAAGAAGCCCCTCCAAAATATAGGCCCCCCAAACTTGTAACGCTAAAAACCGTCCGTTAAATCGCCCTCCATATATAAGCCCCCCCTCCCCTCCCCGGGGGCTTGTACTTGGAAATTGCCCTCAAATACAAGGTAAAACAAAGAAAAAACGGTAAATTTTCTTCCAACTGTAAGGTTAGCCCAATCGATTTTGAAACGCAACTTTCCCTCCATAGATAAACCCCTCCGAATATAAGCCCCTAAAAAAATAAGCCCCTCAAAAAGGGCCTTTGAAAAATATAAGCCCCGGGGCTTATTTTCGGAATTTTACGGTAGTTTGCTTTGTCCCTGGGGAAAGAAAGGCCTTGCATTTTCACTAAGTTCCAACCGCTTAATACGGACACTTTCTATGGCCCCCTGAGTGTCTGTAATAAAGGCATTTGACTGGAATTAAAATTTTACTTGGCAGGCGAGTCGAATGACGATCAGCAAACTTGCAAGTGACGTGGCAGAGAATCATTGGGAAACTAAAGGAATGAAACACGCTTTACAGGCTGAGATGGACTATAACCTAATGACAACTCAAAAGCTAGAGAGTCTCAAGGTACAAAATATTTCCTTACTAGGGGGTGGGTGGTAACAAGTTTTTGGTGCAGATGTTTCTAATGCCCAGAGGCATGAATGGTTCAAAAAACCCAGATATCGTATCACTAGTACAATGTAATCACAGGTTGATAAAGTCCGGTAGATTCTAGTTCTTGTGTGATATCGCATGGCTTTAAGGCAACGGAGAAACCATATGAGATCGCATGGTTTTAACATGAAAATGAAAGTAGCTTACGGGAAAACGAGATAAATTTGCGCACGCCATTCTCGATATTTTACCTCGTAACAAAATTGGGAAGCGGCCATTGACGGGAACAAGTCTGGGAAGGCAACTGTTTTAGGGATTTGTTTTTAGCCAAAGATTTCAACCCAAGCGACCTTTGAGGACTGTAGAAATGCAGCCAGCTCTCCCTTTGTTTAACACTGACTCATAGGGCAGACTACCCCTCTGAAACGTACTCTAGACTTGAACGCAGCGATTCTTGAAGCCATTTCTTTAGTCATTTTCTCTGATTCTCAGTAAGCCGTGTGGTCACTGAGTTTACGTCCCAACGGTATCCATCTTAAGGAAGATTGGACTGTGCAGCGAACTGGCAAAACGTGAAAAGCTATTACCTAGAACACAATTAATTTTATCTTTCAAATCCGCAGTCGTGATCGTTGCAGAAACAATGAACACTTAATTCAATGGTTTATTCTTGCTCCCACAAATAGTAGCTCTAGCTCCACCATTCGATTATATTAAACAACACACAACCAACAATCCTTTTGATTCGCTTTAAAGAAAGGGCTTGCGCTTGGAATCTTAGCTTGTTTTTTTCTCTAGGGTGGCCTAGTTACTTTATCATTCATGTCGTTAAAACCGAACTTTCTGTATGTTATTCCCCTTATTGACTTAACTTCACTTTTCTTCGGAAAACAACCTCTATTCAACTGCCAACAATGACCGCCTTAATGCGGACTAGAAAGCCAGGATCTTGTAACAGTACTTTGTTTTTCTTTGATAGGAATCAACAGCTCGACAAATGGAAGATATGGCAATAGAGCTAGACACTCTGAGACGTTCAACATACAGATGACAAAAGTAAAGCTAGTGAACAAGTCCGGCCACTTGAAAATCGTCTCTTTCCACTAGTTCCCAGATCTTCTCTTGGAAAATACCCTGGAATCGCGGGTTGCCAAATCCTGTCAGTTGCCATTAGAAACAACAGCCGTATGGCTCAATAGTTGAGTCTTGGTGCTCATTAACTTGCTCTTCTGGCTTCTTCGTGAGACATGTTACTATAACTGTACAGCTGGCTATGAACAAGAGCACTGAAGAACTAGAAAGTGAGAACCACAAAGGTGTTTGAACGAGTCATGTATTGTAAGAAGATTTATTTATTCAATGGTGCAAAATATGTTTGTACATACGATTTTGTATTAGTCTCAGACTCCACGAAACTTTGGAAACTTCGACATCTTGTATACAACAGGGTGAGAATTATTTATGCAAAAGTCAAGTCGATAAATGATTTCTCATTAATAAGGTCTAATTCAAACTCACTGAACACAAGTTGTACACATCAGGACGTAGTTTTTTGTCAAATAAGACATAACTACAGAGACGGGTGTTTTCGTAGCCAGGAGGCGCGGTTCTTTACAGTAAAAAGAAGGAATCAGTACAACTTATGAACACTGTACATATATAGAGGATATTACACGGTGGCGAGAAGATATGAATTTTATGTTCTCGTGGCAAGAACAATATCTCACTCGTTCGCTTCGCTCACTCGTGAGATATTGTTCTTGCCACTCGAACATAAAATTCATATCTTCTCGCCACCGTGTAATGTTCTTTTTATTATATGGAGAAACCAATTCAACAAAAGCAAAAGGCGGGAATCGTGACGTCATTGAACGATACGACACTCACAAAGGTGACATACGGAAAATACGCCACTCGGGTCCCGGATGAAGTGGCGTATGGAATCTACGAGTGGTTTAGTTCCCAGTAAAACACTCTCCTCCATATAATAAAGATTTTTATGGTATTTTATATGTATAGACTTTTGTAAGATACGAAGGGTGTTAAAGACACTGTAAAAAGATTCTGAGCAAAGAGAAATAAATCACAGCCTCGAACTTTTTGAAAAATACTTATCTAATTTTTTTGCTTTCATGCGATATCCCTGCGACTTGTTAGAACCATCTTTGGTGAACGTCTATGTTTTTAGACGCCACACACTGGGTAAAATAAATGTTCTTCAGTAATTTGGAAGAACTATTCCTCACATTCTCTCCTCCATTTCCTGCTTCCTCATTACTTTAGAAGTTTTGTAATAACATTAACATCAGATTTTTGCAGGGGAAAAAGAGTGGGAACGAGCGAAGGGAAGAAAGCCCTTCACCACCTCACCGCCCCCCATTTCCTTTCCCCTCCTCTCCTCTCTTTTTTTTAACC